AGAGAGAGAGAGAGAGAGAGAGAGAGAGAGAGAGAGAGAGAATCCAACCTAACTAACAATGGGCCTCCTCCCCCCATTATCCCACACGATAAAGTGTAGTATCTGCTTCGATCAGTTTCATATCCGATCTTCCCCCCCACACGATCAAGCGTAGTACCTGCTCCGTTCTGTTTCATATCTGACCCGTGGTCCGTCGAGAGATTCGAGATCTTTTTATTTAAAAAAAGAAAATAACAGCACGTACGGGTGCGCGTGGGGGCGCTCGCGCGCCGCTCGAGAGAGAGAGAGAGAGAGAGAGAGAGAGAGAGAGATGGATGAATGGATGGATGTTTGACGGGAGGGAGCCCTTGCTCTTTCTCTCTCACCAACCTCCTCTTTCTCTCTCACTAATGGGGAGGCTCTTGAATGACTTGAGACTTTATTTTACAATTTAGTTAAAGGAAGTGGGCTCCATGGTTTGCATTTCTTAACTTGGAAAATAAAAATATATAAAAAAACAATTCACCTTAGGAGAAGGTCGTACAGCCATTGGAAGAAAAATACCCCTTACTGCTCGGGGATATCCTAGTATTGGTAAAAAAAACTAGAAAAAAAAATAACTAGAGTAGTATAATGAAGATAATTCTTGATATAAAGAAGATTGATAAATGAACGTTCTTTAAAAAATGGCCCTTTTATCGCAATTCGTTTATTGAAAAAAGTTCATATTCTTAATTTAGCAGCACAAAAAAAAGTAATTCTGACGTGGTCTAGAGGATCTACAATAATTCCTAGCATGATTTGAGCCATGCATAATGGACGAGAACCTATACCTATTTTTATTAGTGTCCAAAAGGTAGGACGTAAATTAGGAGAATTCTCAGCTACTCATACTTTTCGAGGTCATGCTAAAAAATGATAAAAAAACTCGTCGCTAGCTCTCTCTCTCTCTCTCTTTCCCCATTCTCTCTGCCCCTCCCTCCTCTCCCTCCACACACCCCCACCCCTCCCCCGTCTCTCTTTTCTGTTGTCTCCCCCTCTATATTCCCCTCCCTCCCCCCCCCCCCCCCCCCCCCCCCCCCCCCCCCCCCGCCCCTCCCCCCCCCCCCCCTACTCCTTCTTTCCCCCTCCCCCCCTTTCCCCCCCCCCCCCCCCCCCCCCCCCCCCCCCCCCCCCCCGCCTCTCTCTCTCTTTCTAAGATTGCCTCACACCTGTCTCCCTTGCGGTGATGAATCCTTTGGCGTTCTTCGATTTGATATTCGTGGCTTTGACAGAGAGTACAAAATGGGCTTTCCCGTTTTCCCGGCTTTGAGATATTACAAAAGAGTGCTTTGACTGAGGGATCAATCATCAATGCCTTGGTGAAAAAAAGGAAAAACCAGAACCTATAATGTTCTCTCCTACAATTTGGCGTTCTTCAATTGATTCCTTATAAATTCTTTCTTCAGAGTGTTCAGACTCTTCACTAATTAAAACTAGTTTATGCTTCTCCCTAGGGAAGCAATCGATACTGATAGCAGCAAAGCTTGAGAACAGGAAGGCCACGGGACCACGGGTGCAATGAGCTTGAGAACAGGAAGGCCACAGGTGCAATGAGGCTGATTTTCAAACCAGCATCTTACCACCACGCAGTTCAGAACGTCAGGGTTAAAATCCAAAGCTACTCAATCTGAGAACTGTATAGAAAGCATTGCCTTAGACAAGCAAGTTTGCGTACACTAGGCTGGAGTTTTAGCAGCCAGTAAACTGGAACCAAGGATGCTCTCTCTTCGACCCTCATGCTTCTTCCCTGTCAAAACGTCTGCTCTCTCTCTCTCTCTCTCACTCTCTCTCTCTCATATGAGGGTGTCCACGGAACACCGGTGGCTATCGTCCCCAGCCCCTGTTGACTACTCACTGCCTTACCTCTCTCTCTCTATATCTCTCTCGTCGCCTCGCTCATTGTGTGGACACTGCTGTGCTTCCACACAAGCACAATGAATGATTGACAGCAACAGCTGCTTCGCTGGTATGTGTGACTGCTCTACTTTCTTGTGTCGAGTGTGCAGACCTGGTTGACTCAGTACCTTGCCGGCTTGTCCCTCTTGTCCTGTGACGTTTCTAAAATATCTGTCAGCTTACCTGGGACCCAAGACTGCAGACCGACTTGGCTGGGCTGACTGGACCACACTTGACCCAACTGGCCTTGTGTGACATATGACTAAATGTACTGTTTTCAAAGATCAGCCTCTTCAACCTACTGGACCCTAGGCTACCGGAAATTTACGTGGGACCAGATTGACCAGCTACCGGACCCCATCTGGGACTATCCTGGCCCTCAGGTCTCTTAGACACAGTGGAGAGGAGCATTTGCATTCATACCTATACATGCGTGCCTGGATGAAAGCAAGTGCAGTGATGCTCATGAGAATGGAATGCAGCCATGGCCGTAAGGTCAGCTTCCATTTGTCTTTTTCAGCTTTTTTGCTAAATAAGGTAGACACTCCATGGAAAAACGAGGAATGACATGTTGTGTGGCGCTGTGCTCTTGGTTGTAAATTTGGATTGACCTTCTGAGAAAGGTGTCTTTGCAGGTGAACATTGTGGATCGAAGCGTAGAGCCCATGGACGAAGAGGAGTTGCCTGGTGTCTTAATTTCGAAGAGGAAGGAGGTACGCATCATACAACAGTGGTTGATCATCCCATACCAGTTGGCTTGTGAAAACTCAATTCCAGACCAGTTGGCTTCGAAAAACTCTCTAGAACTTGGCCTCCAACCTTTTGCCAAGGTTGACAGAATTTTGACTTTTCAACTTAAGCTGATGCAGCGGCTTGATGTGACTTTTCTTATCTTCCAGATCCTTGAGTACGAAAGCAAACCAACTTCATCAAGCATATCCAGCCAATGTTGATGGTGCTTCACTGGGCGACCTGGCCCCCATCTGGTTATTTAAGTATCCACCCGTGTTAGTTTGGCTTGGAAAGGTGCGCAGTTGCGAAAGGAAAGAAGAAGAAAAAAACTGTGTAGAATAATAGAATTTCAATACAAACGACTCTTGGCTGGGGGTCGAGTCGAAATTTGGTAGTTTTCGGTGCTTGCAGTACCAACAAGCAATGTGAAATAGAAAAGGAAGTTAAGATGCACCAATAGAGAAATACGTTAAGATGCACCACTTTCAATCACTGTAAACGGTAAACCCCTCTCATCAACCCCACATTCCTGACTTTGGCCCTAATGTTACAATTCTGGCCAATTTCGAAGTGCAAAATTCATCAGAAAGCGCAATGCCGTCCAACCGTGAAAGAAATGAATGAACTTGAAAAGGAAGAAACAAGGAGAAGATGTACACCAGCAAAGACCAGTGATAATATCACCTCTTCTCGCCAACCAAGCTACTTCTCCTTTTCTTCTCCCCTCTTATTCAAACAAAAAATAATAATAATATAATGATGAATGGCAGAACCAGAATCAATGTCTGAATCTCTCTTTTACTGCCAGCACAGCGTGAGGTCCACCATAGCCACTGCCTGCCGTCTCCTTCCTCTTCATGGACTACCAGGTCCTGGCTCTGCAAGCAAAAGACAACTCAAAGCGGCTATGGCCACTTCTACTCAGGTCGCCATGCCCGACTCTGCCTCGAAGCTTTTTGATGGAGCTGTACCCCAACGCGGCCTTCCAGATGCAGCCCCCACGAAGGTGTGATGATGCTGGTTATTCCCGAAGCGCAAATAAAGACAATGCCACCCAATTGCGAAAGAAATGAAAGCACTTGCAAAGAGATAGAGACCAAAGAAGAAGAGAGAAAGAAGAAGAAAAAGAAGAAGAAAAAGAAGAAGAAAAACGATGTACACCAGCAACCAATGACAAATCCTCCTCCTCTCTACACCTTCCTCCTCCTCCTTGTCTTCACCAGTCTTATTCTTTTCCCAAATAATAATAATAACAACGAGTAGTTAAACCAGATTCAATATATGAAGTCCCCTCTTACTGCCAGCATGACAACAGGTCAACCATAGCCATGACTTACCTCCCCCTTCCGCCTCGCACATGCCAAGGCTAAGGCGGACTACCAAGGGCTCTGCCTCGACAAAGCAGATATGGTCGCTGCTCGTCAGACCGCCATGCTTGACTCTGCCTCGAACTTCCTTGGTGCGGCACTACCCCAAATGGGGCCTTCCGGATGCAGCGCCTAACAAGGTGATGAAGATGATGTCCACCATAGCCAGGTAGGTACCTCGCCACTCTCCTCCTTCGCCGCCTTCGTCCTCCTCCTCAAACTGGGTTGCTTGCCATACCCAGGCTGAGCGCCTAGCTGCTCTTTGTCCACCCAGGCAGCGCTCTGAGTCCGGTTGCGCGCTCAAGCAGTATGTAGCCCAACCTTGCACACTGCAAATGAGGATGAGCTACTCGCTCCTCCAGAAGATATAACGGCCTACTTGCCTCTTGGGCGGTGACTTCCTAGGCTGTGCGGCCTCCCAGCAACTGGTACCTCGTTCCTTTCGGAGGGGAACGTCACAGGCCCTAGACTCAGGCTGGGTTGGACTGGTACTGGCCTAACTCTAGCCTACTGCTACTGGGCCTCTAAAAATGCGAGCCTTTAGTCTTCTTCTGCTCGGCCTCGAATGCTGGACAATTCTACCACTACTTGAGTGGTACCGGCCTACCTGCTACTTGAGTGTTTTTCCCGCTGCTCTACGTGCCGCGTGCCTACCCCTCCCGCACGAGTGTTTTTCGCTCTGCAACCCTCAAAGTCACGGCCACAGGTAAGTACCGTCCCTGCGGGGCCTCCAAACGAACAAGTACCTTTGCGGGTCACACACACACTCAGGCCGACAAGCATTCAGACAGGCACGCAGACCAGCAGGCACGCACACACACAGACTTAGAAAACTCAGCAGAATGCAGGAATCTCAGCAAGGCATACAATCCAGCGGCGAGACCCAGAAATCAGCAATGGTCTGAGTGTGTGTTCTGGGGGGTCATTAGACTCCCCACCAAGGTGATGGAGATGGCATCCACCCGGTGCTCCCCCTTCCTAGTCATTTCTTCTTCCTCCTGCCCGAGGTCCTCCACCATAGCCAAGGTGGAGAGCTGGCCGCTCCTTCCCCAAAAGCTCCTGGCTCTTCCTGGAGATCTAGTGAGGCAGCAGCCTCCTTGGGCGGTGACTTCCAGGGTGCGCAGCCTCCCAGCAACCTGTACCTCATCCCTCCCTTTCGGAGGGAGACATCATTGCATGCTCCGATATTGTCCCCCTAGACTACAGGCTACTTGGACTCGTACCCGTCTAGATGCTACTGGCCCTCTAAAAATGCCAACTTTTGTCTTCTCGTGCTCAGCCTCCAGTCCCCGACATATCTACCGGTACGTTGGATGGTACCGGCCTACCTGCTACTTGAGCGTTATCCCCACTGCTCTAATTGTCAGGGGCCTACTCCTGCTACTTGAGTGATTTCCCTGCGGGAACCCTCAAAGTCACAGCCACAGGTAGGTACCGGCCTTGCGGGGCCTCCCAAAAAAACAAGTACCCTTGTGGGTCACACACACACTCAAGCTGACAAGCACTCAGACCAGCAAGCACGCACACCCACTGACTTAGAAAACTCAGCCGAAAGCGGGAATCTCAGCAAGGCATTCATTCTAGCGGGTAAACTCTGAAATCCGCTGTGTTCTGAGTCTGTCTTTGGGCAGGTCCTTACACTAGCCTTTCGTGCTTAGCCTGTGTGCAAGTTGCCGGCATGCCCACAAGTTGCCTGGCTGTATCCAGGCACTCTAGATTTGAGGAACTGAACTAAATGTCCGCAAGTTGCAGGCATCATGCTGGCCACCATATTTACAGCCGCAGCAGCCAACCTGCCGTAGAAGCACCAGCAAGCACCGAGTAAAATGACAGGTAGCTCTGCTGGTTGTCATATTTGTGGCAAGCTCCTCTGCAGATCTCTAGCAACAGCCAGCACATTGTAGAGTTACAGAACCAGTGCATCGTGTCTGCCGACCTGCAAATCGGGCAAAGAGTACAAAGCTGAAGGTGTACAGATGTGGAGCGAAGGGTTAAGCGGCAGCAGAAGTGAAGGGAAAAGCAAGCACGGAGTTGGAGTTCAAAGCACTGGTGTGAGAAGTGCAGACTTCATCACCCTGCAAACTTATAGATTTCAAATTGCATTTGTGACTATGTTTGTCAGCTCCCTTGTACAGAGTTCAAAGTTTAGAGTTGACTGGTCTTTCTTGCCCTCGTGCTTGTGGAGATAGACATATTTCATTGTGCTTACCACACCCTCAGCTATGCATTGTGCTAAGTTGCTCACCACACCCTCAGCTATGTTCTGTAACCCACTCCCACCAATCCCTACACTATTAAAATTGTTAACGTGACAAATCTGAAATCGGGGCCATCGTCGGTCTTACCGGCCCACGGCCCAGATCAACCAAACCATGTAACAAATCTGAAGTCCTGGCCGTCGGATCCTACCGGACTGACGGGCCGTATCGGTGCGATCTTAAGATCTTAAGATCGCGCATCAATCCAGGCCATTGGCCCGGTACCTTGGCCCCGACGGCCCGGATTATTTGCCTTTTGGAAAGGGCTGCGATACCTACCGGTGGTTTCTTGGCACGGTACCTGGCGGTGGGGTTTTGTGTGTTGGCCAAACGGGTTTCCATAGGCTGCCCGTGATGTAACTACTTTTTCGTGGCGGCGTGTACTGTTTTTGGGTGGGGGCCTGCCTTTTTGGTGGCGGCATGGTTATATACTTCTTCTTTCCTATCCTATGCTACTAGACTTCGATTTTACTACTCTACTCTACACTACCACGCTCGACTTTGACTTGGCATGTGGATACACACACACTGTTACATGACCAGTTGGGCGATGTACATTTACAACCAAGGATCCACAATGTGATGAAAAGGACTGAATGGACAATGCAATGCTAGTAGAATCTCAACAAGCAGTGTACATCCTGATACATACAAAAATGGTGCTTTATAGCGCAGTGGAAAGTCCTGACCTGACCGGGACTGACCTCCTCTCGTAGTGCAAGACAGCGCAGCAGAATGCTAGAATACTAATGAGTCGTAATGACGAGCCCAATCAATGTCGCGATGCAGACCAAGCACACAGAATCCTCATCACAAGGTGTGGAGGGGCCTGGCGCTACACACAGGAAGAATGCGCCAGGTCCAGACCATACACAGACGGAGAAGAGGGGATCAGACGAAGAAGATGGGGGAGATGGGAATGTCGTTAACACCAAGGCTTCGTTACAAGCCCCAGATAATCCCTCGTCAAATGTCTGAAGCCCAATGTCGAGTTTGGATCCAAATGTCACCAAGCCCGCTCTCTCGTAGTCTGCTGATGCAGTGAAGTCAGGTAGCGAGAGGGTGATAGGGAGATGGTGGACTGAGAAGAGGAAGAGGAAGAACTCTCTCTCTCTCTCTCTCTCACGTGCCAGGTACTAACCTGTGAAGATGGCGCTGTGCTGCAGGTAACTCGAAGACGAAGCTGGAGCTATGGCGCTGCAGGCAAGTCTCCCTGGCCTCCGCCCAATCTCTCTCTCCAGTTCTACTCTAGGTCCTACTAGTGCCCAGCGCTGAAGACTACTGCTAACGCTGCTACTACTACTGCAGCGCTCCTCCAGAGTGCTGCTGCCAAATCCTGAAGACTACCTCCACCCT